GTCACCATCCCTGGAGGTGTTCAAAAAGTGTGTAGATGTGGCACTTTGGGCTATGGTTTAGTAGGTAAGGTGGTGTATTGGGCGGATGGTTGGACTTGATGATCTTAGAGGTCTTTTCCGACCTACGATTCTATGATTAAGTAAACTTAAAAAGCAGAGTTAGTAGTGATTTATGTGAGGAAGTTGTTAAGATTTGAGTTGTTTACAAACATTACAGAGTGGTTGACAGGGAATCAAAACCTCCTTAATGTATTTGAGACATGGGGGGAGAGTGAAACTACTAGTTTTGAAGCATGACATCCTTAGGGCATTTTTGAGTCTAAATTCAGAAAATTACATGTTAGCTTGCAAGTTTTCCTAATTCTTTCCGCAACCAAACTCTTCCAGCCTGTGCTTCTCCCTTGTCTCTGAAGTGCGGTGGGTGGAAGATGTCAGGGTGGGACTAACTGATGCTCTTTACCTCCGCCAGAAATGTTTTCATGTATATGAAGCTATGCAAGCCAGGGAGAGTTAGAAAAAAGTGGGTTTGCCAGTGTGGTGAGTTCTGTTTTAGTAAAAAGCTACATTAGTAAAAATACTCCCCTTAGGAGTATAACTAGAGTAGCAACTGTTGGAAACACTGGTAGAGTAGAAAAGCTCAGCAAAAGAAGCCACCCCTCCCCCAGGTGGTGCTGTACCAGCATCACTTCTTATACCAGCTGGAGCTAGAACACTCTTAGCTTGATTACCTGAACAGTGTGACTTACAACTGTTAGCGAAGATGGTAGAGAGAACAGTCACAAAAGTGTCTTGATGTCTTTTACGTACATTAAAAAATGCCTTTTTTCTGCAGAGCACTGAAAGTCTTGCTTTGAATTCAAAACTAGGGAAATATTTGACGCAGTTAGTGAGGTGGCTTGTTCAGGTCTGTCCCCCACACTAATGATTCATCTTTTTAGGTTTTGTTTGATGGGTGATTTTGTATTGTGCGAGAATCTACTTACGTTTATTTTTAAACGATGGAAAATGAAGGCAGACTTTTGCAGTTAATTTACTTAATTCTTCCTACAAAATAAGGTATTAATAATTGTTAAACAAGAATTAAGAGGCTTTGAGAATATTGAACTGTGGATTTTGCAGAATTTTGAATAGTGCCATGTTGAGCGCTTATTAAATGGGACTCTCTTCCTATACTTTTTCACAGCCTGACTGGGTGTAAGTTAGGAGGATCTGTGTTCAGCTTTAAAGTTAACCTACCTGTAGCGATGTGCTAGGTCTTTCCTAGGAGTGTAGCCAATTAATCAGTCAGAAGCAAGAAAGTACAGGGAAAGGTAGTATTGGAAGAAAACAGGTTTTGAAGCAGGTGCAGGAATGGGAACTGTGCACTGGCATGGAGACCGCAATCTGAGTTTGTCTAGTCCTGGACTCCCGGTGGGCGCGTCCGCCTCTGCCTGGGTGTGAAAGAGAGTGCTTGAGATTGCAGTGCCTTGACACCAGCATTGTGCTCCAGCGTGGGGAAGATGCTGCTGTATCTCAACATTAAAGCTGTGGAATTCAGATTCCAGTAAGCACTGAAATGAAACCAATTTATTCCATCCTCTTCTTTCCCCCCTGTTACTTTTAAATCAAAGGCTTGTTAATGCAATTTACATCATAAGCCATGCTTCTGCCTATCTCGAAAACAATTGCATAGGGAGCCCAAGGCTAGTCTTGGCACATCTGTGGCTGGTGTTCCCAGCAAATAATATTTTTATTTGTCTGTAAGTGGTGTTTTTTTCCTTTGGAACAGTTGTCTGTACTGTCATAATTATCAGTTGTCTTGAAATCAAAGCCTAAAAATACTTTTAATTTTCCTTCCTAATATAGAGAGGTTAATCACCTTGAATGTACTTCGAGCTTTTATTTTTTCACAAAAATATTTGTAGAGCTATTTTGAGTTCAAAATCTTGTGTTTTGGATAGAATCTACAATATCCTCATTGCAGCATTTGACAGGAGGTCTACTGAAATAAATTTTCTTGTTAAGATAGAGATTAAGCATGTAAAATCTTGATTTCTGGTGTAAAATTTAGTATCTTCTACTAAGCTGTTGTTGAAGTTCTTACCTAACTAAATTTGGAGTCTCAGCAGGCTAGGCAAAAGCCTTTCAACTGTAAACTAATTGTTACTGTAGCTAAGATGAAAAGACACTTCATACAGGTTTGAGAAACTCTGTAAAATAAATCAACAATCAGATGCCTTATTTCTTTTCTGGATTTCACTGTTTGTTAGAGAATAAATGCATATGCGTACCTCTCAAATGCGTTTGTGTTAGGGAAATTACTGTATGATTAAACACCGATTTTGATCTTCTCTTTCATTTTTCTAGTGAGTTTATGTGGAAGAAATGCTGTGGCTGTTCTCAGACTCTCTTACAAACTGATTTCAATGTAAGTAATTGTTTGATCAGTATTGTCAGTTACGTGGTGTGCCGGACCTACATCTGTGTACTTAATGAAAAGAAAAATACATCACACATCTATAAGTTTTCCTTACGTTTTTCAAAGAACTTTTATTTGTTTGGGTTTCAGTTTTTATATGCCAGGTCAGAAGCCCTTCCTTCTGTTCTGTTATTTTTTTCTGTGACGTGTTAGTCACTCATCCATGGTTCAAGATTACACATGCTTCAAAGATTGCCTTTTTTTTTTTTTTTTGAACACTCATAGCAGAGACCGTTCACAGGAGAACCAGTCACATGAGCTGCTGAGGATTTTCCTGTACAATATGTATTCTGCCAATTTAATTCCAGTGTGTTTATTTTTGCTCAGGTTTCAGTGTTGAGTCATCTTGTGTTGAGTAACAGAAGTTCTGCTGTTCGCTGATCAATGTGACAGTCTTCAGTAGTTTACGAGATGAGCCAGCCTCGTGGGAAATATGACTTCTGTATCGGTCTGGTGTTGGCTATGAGTTCCAGCATATTCATCGGAGGAAGTTTCATCCTGAAGAAGAAAGGCCTTCTCCGGTTAGCTAGGAAAGGCTCCATGAGAGCAGGTAAATACGTGTTTAAGAAGCTTGCTGACATTGAAGTTTTGCTGTTTAACAAACTTACGATCTTGTTTTGACTTTTTTGTTTGTTACAGGTGTATGAAACCTAAAACATACAGCAGGTGTGTTCTTTCTCTGGTGTCAGATACACCTGACTCTGTGTGTGATACATACTATTTAATTTGCATGTAACGCCCTCTAGGGACACTTGTTGAAGGATTCCTTCGCATGTCAGGTCTAAATTGTTCTTGCAAATTGAACTTTGTAAGCAGCACTCTTAACTACATCTGTGCTCCTGAATGAGTACATTTAGGAGAATGTTAACTGTTTGAGCATCAGAAGATTGTTTTAGAAAACTAAAACTCACATGTGATAATTGTACATAACGAGTAGTGTCCCTCCCTTCATACTGGAAGCAATACTATTTTATATCTTTATCAATGATCTAGACAGCGGGACTGCATGCACCCCCAGCGAGTTTGTGGATGACACCAAGCTGAGTGGTGCTCTCGATCCGCTGGAGGGATGGGATGCCATCCAGAGGGACCTGGACAGGCTTGAGCAGTGGGCCCATGCAAAGCTCATGTCATGAAGTTCAGCAAGGCCAAGTGCAAGGTCCTGCACCTGGGTCAGGGCAATCCCCGGTATCAGTACAGGCTGGGGGATGAGGGGATTGAGAGCAGCCCTGCCAAGAAGGACTTGGGGGTTCTGGTGGATGAAAAGCTGGACATGAGCCAACAGTGTGCACTCACAGCCCAGAAGGCCAACCATATCCTGGGCTACATCAAGAGCAGCGTGGCCAGCAGGGCGAGGGAGGGGATTCTGCCCCTCTGCACCTCTCTGGTGAGACCCCACCTGGAGTCCTGCGTCCAGCTCTGGAGCCCTCAGCACAGGAAAGACATGGAGCTGTTGGAGCGGGTCCAGAGTAGGGCCACAAAAATGATCCAAGGGCTGGAGCACCTCTCCTGTGAGCAAAGGCTGAGAGAGTGTGGGCGGTTAAGCCGGGAGAAGAGAAGTCTGCAGGGAGACCTGATTGCAGCCTTCCAGCACCTGAAGGGGGCCTATAGGAAAGATGGGGACAAACTTTTTATCGGGGCCTGTGGTAACAGGGCAAGGGGCGATGGTTTTAAACTGAAGGAGGATGGATTTAGATAGGGTGGTTGCAGCATCCTCGGATGGTTCAGAAGGTTGAATCTGAATATTTTTAAGTCAGTACCTGTCATCTCTGCTTCTAAAAGATCGTTGATCTTGAGATACATAATTTATGCTTCCTGGTTTGCAATGGGAAAGTGTGACTACATTTCAAACGTTTGAACATGTAATCAACGACATAAACCATGCACTATTTCCACAAAGTAGTACTCTTGTAGAGACACAAAACTTGGCTTTTCGTGTCATTACAATGAGTTGAAAGAACTTTTTTTCAGGGTAATGCAGATGTGGCCATCAATGCCATTTCTAACACAAAAAAACCCCTGTTTTTCAAAGTAGGCTGTAGGAGGCGCATGCACATCAGAAACTGAAGATGATTTGAATTCAGCCTCTCTAACTATAAAGTCTAAATATCAAAAGGCTGCCCATGTTTTTAAGGGCATGGGCTGCAAAAAGTATGTTATGGTGATGTCAGTGACAGGGCTTACTGTTTGTCACTGTATGTTTTTAATGGAGCAGCAAACATTCTTTTGATTTTAGGTCAAGGTGGTCATGCATACCTTAAGGAGTGGCTGTGGTGGGCTGGACTTCTTTCAAGTAAGTATCAAAAATATAATCTGCATTATATAATTTAAGTAAAGAATTATGCCACAGATAGCAGCACCAGTTACAAAAAAGGAGTCAGATGGGGGTTCTACAATGTATGGTAGTGCTGTCTGGTGATTTGATGGGTGCAGCTCTAATAAATTAATGAAAGAACTGGTGTGAGAGAATTATATTAAATTCAACTGACCTCTTTGGGCAGTGGAACTAGGCAGACACTGGTCTTCCTGTATCTCTTCACTAGCATACGCATTCTGGTTTTTGTCTTAGCAGAGGAGCGCTTAGATATACAGGATTCTTTAGAGGGAAGCGTATTTTGGGATGATGTCTGTTTTCTGAACTTTGTTTTTTTCCATTGCTGAAACTCTCAACTTACTTTCTGGCTGTGTTCAGGTAACTATGGCTTAATATATGCATTGCCCTGTAGCCTGCTATTGCAGATTGCTCCATGCAGGAGTTTGTGAGTCAAGTTGGCAGGCTGGGGAGCTACAACACAGACACCAAAATAAAACCTTCTGATTTGACTGAATTAATTTCAATACCTGTTGTAGTCCCCCAGCCTGTTTTTAAAATGTAGTAGCGGGGGAGGGGTGCGAGTGTTCTGCTAGTGCTGTTAGCTGAACGCTATAATTAGAATTTTCTGTTGTTCCCTTACTGCATGTTTGTGTCTGCAAGAACACTTGCACTGATTCACAGGTTTGTTGTGTAAGACAAGACAGCCTAACTCCTATTTTTTAATTGTTATTACTCTGCAGTGGGAGCTGGCGAAGTAGCTAACTTTGCTGCCTATGCTTTTGCACCAGCTACGTTAGTGACTCCTTTAGGAGCTCTCAGTGTTCTTGTAAGGTAAGAAACACTAACAGAAAGCAGTGTGATTTCAGAGAGAGAAGTAAAATATTTATTTAGAAATATATTGCGGAAATATGCTGTAATAAGTGTGGCTTGTTCTTAACAGTAAATAAAGAGTGCTTATAAACATCAGGAGTAACTAAATTTCTCTGAAAGCAAAGTGACTGCTATTAAAGAGTTCTAGCAATGCATCTGCACCTTGATCTGTGAAAAGCTATCATCTTCTGCGTTTCAAAAGATGTTGTATACAACAGAGTAGTATTTTCATTCCTAAGTAGAGTTAAAATTTTTGTTTTTAAAAATTATTTTTACAAGTGCTTAGATACAGATTTTTTTGGGGGGGAGGCAGCATAAAAAAGGGGTTCTGGGGAGAGATGCCCAATATTAACAGGTAGTTCTGTCCATAGCAAGCATCTTGAGGTAGAAAATCAAGTATGTAGCTATTTTTAAGTTGTGCATTGTGTATGCAAGTGACCTGTACAGTCAAAGCAACCTGTAAGTGAAGTTGTTGAGCAAATGAATATTACCAATTCCATGTTTGCTGGTGCATTTTTTTCTTCATAGTGCCATTCTGTCATCCTTCTTTTTAAATGAAAAACTTAATCTGCATGGAAAAATGGGCTGTTTGCTAAGTATACTGGGATCAACTGTGATGGTAATTCATGCTCCACAAGAGGAGGAGGTAGAAACTTTGAATGAAATGTCTCACAAACTAGGTGATCCAGGTAAGAAAAATGCTGGCTTCATATGTACGCAGTCCATCATTTCTTTATTATAGTTTTGTTACTGCTGCTTTCAAGTTCCAGGAAGATAGTCCGTGTTTGCTTTGTGTTGTCAAAGTGAAGTAGAGATTTGAATTCTGTGACATAATTCCGTAGGGAGCTTGGCATGATGCCAGTGAACTTGTCTGGCCTTGAACAGAGTGTCTTGCTGTGACCCAGTGAGATGACAGTTTAAACAAGTGCAGCAGCGCTGTTGAATAAACACAACTTCTGTAAATTTTGATTGAAGTGTGTCAGTTTCTAAGCCCAACTTTGAGCTACCCTTAAAATGAAAAAGTAGGTGCTGTGCTGTGTCTGCTGAGAAGTGTAACCCTGGAGACTAGCTCCTATGCTTATGTGGAGGACGAGGCACTCACAAATACACATCTGCAAAATGCTATATATGCAAAGGCAAATCTCACTTTAAACACAAGGAAATGGCCAGCACGGAGATTAAAAACCTGATCTTAAGGAATGGCCTGATGATTGGAAATCTGCTGATGAATGTCTCAGCCTGCCAAAACATACTTCCCTAAACAGCATTTGGACACAAGCCGGTATCCAGTGGCATCTGTACCTCAGTGAGCCTGTGTGTAAGGCAGTAGAGCAATCTAATCCTGTAGTCACCTTGCTGATAGACAGGCAAAGTCATACAAGGTGCCTCAGTTCCGGTCTTTGTTTTAGCTAGCTCACTCTCAAATCATTTTAACTTTGATATTGAAAGAGTAAGGAGAAACATCCTCAACTCCTTGGTTTAAGCTGAGCTGACTGCATTGTTTATGAGTGTTTTCTCGGTACCTCTAGGATGCTTTTGGTAGTGTAGATAAATAACAACTTTCTTTTTGTCCCCCCCCCCACAGGTTTTGTGGTCTTTGCAACTCTTGTTGTCATTGTGTCTTTAATTCTAATATTTGTGGTGGGACCTCGCCATGGACAGACGAACATTCTCGTGTACGTAACAATTTGCTCTGTCATTGGAGCGTTATCAGTCTCCTGTGTAAAAGGTTTGGGCATCGCTATAAAGGAACTTTTTGCAGGAAAACCAGTGCTGAAGCATCCCTTGTCTTGGATTCTGCTGCTAAGCCTTATTGTCTGTGTGAGCACGCAGATCAACTACTTAAACAGGGCTCTGGATATATTCAACACTTCGATAGTGACTCCGATATATTACGTAGGCTTTACAACATCTGTTTTAACTTGTTCTGCCATCCTTTTCAAGGAATGGCAACACATGGCGGCTGATGACATCATTGGCACCTTCAGTGGCTTCCTGACTATTATTGTGGGGATCTTTTTATTGCATGCCTTCAAAGATGTTAATTTCACCATAGCAAATCTGCCCCTCTCTTTGCGGAAAGATGATAGAGCAGCAAACGGCACCTTGCCGAGCACGTACGACTGCTTTGATCACGATGAAGAAAGTTCTCCCTGTCTGGGTGAAATACAATCCACCGAGAGTCTCTCGGCCAGGAGAAATGGAAGTCTGTCAGCCTTCTGAAAATACCTACGTGTTACTTAAGAACAATTCTGTAACTCTGGAATTTTTTTTCTGCTGTGGAAGTCTGAGCTTGTCTGGAAAATCATGTACTTTTTAACAGTATGTGTAGACAATCGTTAATTTTTAAGTTAAGTTGGATTAGTTTGGGTAAAGAACACTGAAGGGGTTTTTATTTGCCTTATTTTTACTGCAAAAGATACTAAAATGACCTCAGACCACAGTTGGGTGTGTTGCTTAAGTTATATGTAAATACTTTCATTTCATTCTTCTGTTTTAAGATGTGTTGCACTAATGATGATTTTATCAAAAATAAATTGCTTTATTTCTGCAGTGGTGGTGAAAAGATTGCAGCAAACCTGAATTTTTTTGTACTCGTGCCCTGACTGAACACTGAGTGACTGTCAGCACCCTGACACAGGAGCTGCAGGAGGTGCTCTTGTCCCAGTCTGTAAGAGGGAAGGGAAAGCTGCCTCTAAGCAAGGCTGATGCTTTGAAAATACTGCTCAGCTAAAGCAGTGTGACATCAGAAAAACCCCAACCTGACAAAATCAGAGAAATGGGCTGGCAGCAGCAACAAGGCAGGGGCTTCTGCTCTGCGTGGAGAGGGGGGCAGTGGCGCCTGCTGTGCCGGTTTAGGTGGGGGGCAGGATTTGAGTGGCTAATAGTAGCTGAAAAAGCCAACAGGTTCTGGCTGCCTGCTGTGCCCCCCTGGCCCTGGCTCTGTAGAGCTGCTCTGTGTTCTTGATGTTACAGCCTGAACATGCAGAATTGCAGTTTTGTTTCCAGTAACACTGTTACTGGCTGGGATGCTAAGTGTTTTAAAAAGTGCCAAAATTTGGGACATAATGTCATTGTGTAAAAAAGGGGCGAGGCAGGTAGGTGGTAATTTAAGTTCACAAAGGCAGAAAATAAAATCCAGTGCTACAGTTTTTATAAGAACATTCCTACCGTAGATGTGAAGGTTAGGAATTAATTGGGAGAGAGGCAACTACTGCTGGAAGTTGTCAGTTTGGGTGCGTGCTGTTTAAAGAGTACAATTTAAGATTATTACTAGGACTCAAAAGCAGTTCCCACTTGTGACACTAACTCTGTTGCCTGCCTTTGGTACATGTCATACCTGCAGGAAGGGGCCAGGGTGTCAAGCAAGAAAAAGGTTCTTTAAATTCTGTTTGAAGAGTGGGATTTGAACTTCTACCTAATTGTAAGGAGACATCACTGCAGCAGTACTGAGTGTCAAAGGCGTCCCTGTAATGCTTACGGAACAAAGAGCTCAGTAAACTGGGCGCAGCAGGGACAAAGTCAAGCAGCTGAAGGGGTCACTGAGCTCCAGGCTGCCACTTCAGGGGCAAGGCAGCAGCCTGGCCAAGGAATGGGCTGACACTGCATGCGGTGGGGTCTGTTCCTTTATGTTGTGACAGGCGCTTTGGCCTCCACACCCACCATTTTCGATGAGAGAGAATTAAAAATGAAGAAGTTACACCTTTTGTGCACGTTGCTGCCCTTTTCCTTTTAGGTAGGTGAAGCCGTTATACCAGGTGAAGAGGTTTTTAGCTCCCACTGAGTCTAATAATCCTGTTGGAAAAAAAAAAAGTAACCTACCATGGAAAAATGTGAAACAAACATCTCATAGGACTAACGTCTGAATTCTCTTAAACTCATAGTGAAGGGAAAAAGGTAATCATAAAAATATGTATTAATAGTTTTAATATGTTAGAGACTAATTTTCTTACTACTGAAAGGCCACTGGTGAGAATTAGAGCTTATTTTCCTCACACCATAATTAGTTATTTTAAAATAGTTCTTAAACTAAAAATCAGGCTTTATTAATTAACCATTTCTGCAGCACAGTGCCAAGCCAAAGCCTCATCTGTGTCAGCCTTATCCCTAAAGGAATGATTATCTCAACAAATTGAGAAGGTTGTTCATTTCCTTAATTGAAGCCTGAAGCACAGGGAAACATTTGGTTGACTGTAAGACATCTCTGCACAGTGCCATGAAGAACTAAAAATAAATGTTGCTTAAAGAAAACTGTTTGCTACCATCACCTCGTAAAAGCACTCCTGCGACGAGCTGGCGTGACACAGCGCAAGCGTTCCCGACGTCCGTCTCCCCCACAGCGGGCGGCCTTGCCTGCGCTCCCACCACAACAGAGAGCACTCCCCAGCAGCGGCTCCCAAGCACAGGTGGCCTGGGAAAACCTGCGGCAGTGGCGATTCGCCTACAGCTTGCCTGGCAAAGCTCAGCCCTCTCTTTTGCTGAGGAATTTCAGTGAATTTCTTCTCTTTCCACAAAATCCAGTTCCCTGCCGCCCCAGCACCCAGGCATTCCTCATCTCCTGCATACCTCCTCTGGCAGACGCTCCCTTCTGCCCACTGTGGGACTCCATTTGCCCCAGCACCCAGGCATTCCTTATCTCCTGCATACCTCCTCTGGCAGATGCTCCCTTCTGCCCACTGTGGGACTCCATTCCGTTACTGTGAGACATCTGGAAAGAGCTGGGCAGGAGGAGAGATGTGCTGCAACCCTACCTTGAACTAGCAAGAGGGAGGGGAGAAAAACAGGTGCTCGGTTTCACGCTGTGGTTGTGAAACACTAACCAAGTAACCTCTCCAGATACCCGTATCCCGGGTGAAACCTGTGATTATCCGTCTGTGCCTGTTCCAGCCATCTTAACCGACATTTGCTTTGGACAAAGTTTGGGGTTGATCCGACCAGCTGAGTGAGTGTCCAGCACCACTGCAAAGCGCCGTTAGGATCCTGCAGTAAGCACGCAGGAGTTACTGCTTTTGGCTGAGCAGGTTGCTTTAAAATTCAAATTCTACAGTTGCCAAGTTTTACAAACAATTTTACTGATGGAGTGTTTGCATAATACAGTAAGTGTAATTAAACAAATACTTTCCATAAGTAAATCATGAGTAACATCATTAGAGCTTACGTACTGGGATAGATTACACCTGATGATTGCCGCAGTCAAGATTCTTGTAAACAAGAATTCCTTACCACTTGTAAACATGTCTGTGGGTACTCGGGTACGCGTCGCCAACCAAAACAGAAATTGTGTTAGAAGCCCTCATTAGGAAAGTAAACAGTCCCCATTCCAATCAATCAAACTACTGCCTTTTAAAAAGATCAGAATACTACCAGTCACCTCCATGTTAAATAACTTTGAAACAATCACCTTAATTAGCCTTCATTTCCATAATTACTGATCTCAGAGAATACTTTTGCAAAGAGGAAAAATAATCAGCAGGCTAGAAAAATTACTCACAAAGCACCAGCAGAGTTTGTTGGTTGGGTTTTTTTTAATAAAGGCTAATTAAGCGATTAATGCTCTAATACAAACAATTAGGAATTGATTTGTAAAAATTCTTTTCTCTAGAACCCAGTTTTTTATCCTCCACAGCTATTATTTTGATAGCTTTGGGGGAAAATTATGCCAGTCCAGACTAAAATGGCCACCTCAGTATAGGAATGCAAAGAGACTTCAAAAACGTTTTACAGTCGCAGGTTTTTAGTCAAAGTGTATAAAATTTTAGTCTAGAAAAATAAGTATGGATTGTATACAGTTACTGTGCTCGGAGGCTGAAGAGGACAGTGCACCACTCAGATGGCACAGGCATACTGAAAAATGCAGCCGAGAGTATTCCTTAAAAAGACTCTTGGTGGGGGGGTGGTTTGTTGGGTTTTTTTCTCGCACTTTCAGCCTAAATCGGTGCCAAAAGTGTCGCTGGGTGGGAGGTCTAGCTGCTGGCCAGGGACTGATGAATAGGTGGCTGGAAGCAGCGCACGTGTTCCACGGGTGTGCTCTCTCCATCGCCGGACTTCAAATACTTGTCCAAAATGGCAATTATTTCATCATTCAGAATCTGGAACTTGCGAATTCTCTCAACCATTTTCTTCAAAGGCTGCAAACAGCAGAAAAACAGACGCATGGGAATTAGCTTTGGAGATAATAAGCCTTAGACGCAAAAGCAGCAAACGCTGTTACCGCATCTCTCCCAGCGATGTTACGAATGCTTCCCTGCCGCTGCTGAGCCAGTGAAAATCCAAGGTGCATTTGGGTTTGTGACAGTGCTGCATTTTGTACACAAAAGGGCAGTGTACAGCAGCATTGTCATAATCTGAAAGCACGTATATGAGATGGAAAGCATTAAGAAAATCCCCCATATTCAGGAAATCAGAATTCTCACCGACCAGTCTTCAAACAGTAGTGCTAATGCCTTAATCTTTTGTTCCCAAAACCCCTGGTGCCCTCATTTTCAACATTTCGTTCTAAAAAGCGATTGCTACATCAACACTGCTTCCAAGTACAAACAGCTCCAACTTATTGTTGTCTTTATTACTACAGCGAGTACAGAAGAGATGTTTTCAACTCACCACATTCTTTATAACCTCGTCTTTGCCATCGTGCTTTTGGACTTTCAACAGGTGGTAGCAGAAATCCAACACATCGAAGCGACGCTGCTGTCCCAGAAGGACAATGATCATACAGCCAGCCCAGTGCAGGCCGTCCCCAAAGCACTGCCTGAAACGAGGAGCACACCACATCAAGCACGTTTCACCTAAATCTTCAGAGACACGTCCAGAAGAAATGCTCGCTAATCGGCCATTATACTAAATAATTAATATGTTAGACATGAATCTAGGAAACACCGCGAGAGCTCTGGTATATCAAGTTCGTCTTTCCGGATACCACAAGCGATGCAAACGGATGCTTCACAAAAAAACAGAAGCCCCCTCCCAGTTTTACACAACGTGGAGCTACTCCAGAGACATTTACTCCCCATTAGACCCCAGCAGCATTACATTTCATTTTCAAAGGAAACAACGCTTTCAAAGAAAACAAACTGGGCATTCAGCACCACTCTGCTCCTCTGGGCTGCAGGCATGAAAGGAAGCAAACCTCCTGTGCTGCTGCCTCCGTAACTGCTCGGTGAAAAGCACGTTACGCAGTTTTTCAAAATAAGGGTATTACCAAAATTAACAAACCCAAGAACAACAGTTCCTGGCTAACTCATGTTAATCACGTTAACTTGTAAGTGCTCATTCTTGCTCTTCATGCAGAGAAGAAATACTTGTTAGAAATACACGCACCAATGTTCAGTTATTTTACGCAAGCTCAGCGTCCGTAGGGGTACGACTGCTATTGGAAGGTAAGTGCTAGGGCCTATTTGTCATGGGATCATTCACTATACACGGACAATACTTAAAATAGCAGGTTATTTTTGTTAAAGATACAATAATAGCTTTTGCAGACAGGCAGACAGACGCCTCCATCCCAGGCCCCCTCCCAGCTACGGGGAGCATCAGCAGAGCCAGCAGTACGTACTCCACGGT